TTTGGTAGAGAAGATCGGACAGATTTCGCCAAGGCAAGCTGGGCAGTCGCCTATTGCTCCTATTCCAGATAACCCACTGTACCCCGTCTGAAAGGAAGTAACGCTAGAGTAGACTCGCGAAAAGTGTATAAGACACTTTTAAGATCAACTAAATAGCTAAGCCCAAGGGAAGTCGTTCGGGGAGGCCCTCCCTAGTTCCACAAGGGTGAGAAGGAAGACACACGATAACGAAACATTGAATCATGTAGAAGACGTAGGGTAAATGCAAAGCAATTTATAGTAAGAATATGCAGTAAGCTAAGCGAAGAGGTAAGCAAGAGACATGTTAGACTACACTAAAACTACTAAACGAGTTAGTGCTACTACTACACTACACAACACTACTACTACATACAAAAAAAACAGAAGAATCTACAATCAACAATTACTTCAAACAAAAGGAACAAAAATAAGCATGCAAAATAAAAACTTAATCAAATTAACTATAAGACACTACAAGAAACTACAAAAAAACAAAAAGAACATGCAAAATAAAAAATTAATTTGAATAAAACGAACTTAATGAATTCTACTAGATATAGCATGCAAGATAAAGAACTATTTAAACTACTGGGTCATCCTTGTCTTCTCCAACGTCGATCTGAAACAGATACGGTGGCAAACAGATTAATAAAGAGCAATTAAAATTAATTATATCAAGTATCCTCACCTTAATTAATTATAGAAAGTAACATTCCAAAGTTTACAGGAGTGAAAAGTAAACCAACTTCAGGAGGAATACTGTAGCAGAGAATTTTATATTTCAGTGGAATTCAAATAAGTATCGATCTGAAACAGATACGGTGGCAAACAGATTAATAAAGAGCAATTAAAATTAATTATATCAAGTATCCTCACCTTAATTAATTATAGAAAGTAACATTCCAAAGTTTACAGGAGTGAAAAGTAAACCAACTTCAGGAGGAATACTGTAGCAGAGAATTTTATATTTCAGTGGAATTCAAATAAGTATCCAGTTGCACTCGCTCATGGGTTGAAAATTAACTGCATGATGTTAGAAGGCGAAGACAAAGCAGCAAATCAAGAATATAATCCAGGAAAGACCACACCCATGTAGACATGGGCTGTTTCAGTATAACCAAAACTGAACATTAATTCTCTCTCATTTATTGTATAACCTGCAGAAATGGACAAAAAAACATTATAATTACACTTGTAATTAAGAGACACAAATAAAAACGCACCAAAAAGCAAGTAAAACAGCTGAATTATAAAATAAACAAACAATAATTTTACACCATTTTACATCACAACCATAGATCACGACATAGATTAACGTCAAATAATACGACATAGACAACAGAAAAAGGTTAAAAAGAAAATCCATAGATAGATAAACTCCATAGATACATCAATGATAAATACCAATTTACTCTGTGGAAAATAAAAACTGTCAAGTGATATTGATGCACAATAACCTCAATTTATACTGTTGACAATAGATAATTGTTAACAGAAATTTCATAACATATTAATAAAGAGTAATTAATATTGATTAGTCATGTATTCTCACCTTAATTAATTGTAGAAAGTGGCGTTCTAAAGTCTATCAGTGTGATGAGCAAACCAACCAAATCTAGGAGGGATACCACTGCAGATAATTTGTTCCAGTTGCATCCAAATTAATTAATTTCCAATTGCCTCCCTTTGTTACTGCAAAAATTAACTGCATAATGTTGCAAGGTGAAGACGTCAAAAGCATCAGTTGTTTTAGTAGCACCAAAATTAGCTGCAATTCCTTTTCATTTGTGGGACAACAATCTATATAGAAACAGGCAAGAAAAAGTAATTATTTACCATTTTTAAATCGAATAAATCAGTAACATGCACACTAATGGAAAGATCTGTTCCATATTGACTCTCCTTCTGCCATTTCTGAAACATTGTTTAAATGTTGTCTATTGAAGCAAGTTACAAATGTCTAAGAAATTGAAGTTATCTAAAGATATCATTTACTATTTTTAATTGATACTGTTACATACCAGTTCCTTGTCATAAATCCTTTTTCAGCACACTGTCTTCGTTCCCAATAAAAAAAGGCACTTTCATGCTTTCTTTAGAACCATGGGCACAGCTACTTTGACAGGGCAAATGAGGACTAATACAACCAATGCTCCATAATTTCATAATTTAATGGTATCCGGAGTTCTTCTAATGTTCCTGTAAAATGAAATCTTATGAAAAAGTGTTCAGATATAATTAATTAAGTATTAAGTAAATAATGTGCACGATACATTGTTAAAGTAATGCTGAATCTTTTTCTTTGTTAATATCAAATAAATACACTACATATAGAAAGTATAGTATGCATGCTCACCTTAATTAACTACAAGAGCCTCCAAGATGAAAGGTTAACAGCTAAAACACCATAGGAGACGACTTATCTTTTCAGTAAGCAAAGATATCAGTTCCAATCTCTCTCAACTGTTGGCCAATCTGTGGACAAAAACAATTATTAACTAATTAATTTAATAGATATCTGGTACGCAGAAAATTTAAATATTTAATCATTTTCACTTTTCTCCCTTACTCTCAAATGAAAGTCAAAATATATGCGGAAAATGGATAAAAAAAGAATTAAACACTCGTATTAAATAAATGAAACAAGAAATAAAACAAAAACACGTAATAAAAAACCAATTAAAAGCCAAATAACAAACCGTTAAAAATGGCGACGTATCCACCTGATGTGTTTCAAGATATAACCTTTAAAAAATTTATCAATTTAATTTATGGTGTGGGCAAATACGAAGAATAATAATAGAAAATGAATCAATCAAACTAACCTTTTAGACGTAGAACAAATTAAAACTAATTTTGCGAGAAAATTAGCTCGATAAGTTGAATTTAAGAGACGCGAAAACACGTCCTTCCACATCGAAACTTTATGAACTTATAATGAACAAAACGCCTCTCTGGCTTGTCGCGAATTTGCGATTGCTACCACATGAAGCACTGATGACGTAGACAAACGCCAATCAGATGCGTTAAATTCGATGTCTGCGACGCTGTAACCAATCGCGTGCTTAATTTCATCCCCGTTTTACAGAATTCAATTTATCTGCGTTTTTGCTTCGTGCAAGTTCCATCGCCTGATCACTACTCGCAAAGATATATATGCATCTTTGGATATAATAAAATTCGACCAAACGGACAAGTTGAATTTATAAACATTAAACGAATGAAATTAAGAAACTAGCTAATTGCAGTATAACATTTTAGAACTACCTTATTGTTATTTTTAAAAAAATTGCACGCAATTAAAGTTTTTCTAGTAATTATATATAGTAATATTAACAAACAGTTTCTGTGGTTTAATTCTCCTATGTCCGAATTATTAATAACCTTGATGTATGTTAATTATTCAGAATTTTAACCTTTTATAAAGTTATTAGGTAACTAACTATCTACAATTTGTAGTTATTATGTACCAAAAGATGATATAATATGTACTTTGTATACGTATACATAATGCAGAGTCAATTATTTCCATTCAGGTGTTTAAAGAAAACCAAAAGATGACATAGATGATTTAGACTATTGCTCAAATCACAAAAAAAAGAATGTAACATTAATCTTATACAGGAACATAATCATAAGTTTTAGTTTCAAAACCGTTGTGAAAAACTTGACAAACATCTTTTGTTGGTATAAGGGTGGGAAATTTTCGGTTTCATTTGAGATAATTCAAAATAACAACTAATTTTTTTATTCCTGTGCCAACGAAGGTGCATGCCTTTTTTACAACGGTTTTATAACTAAAACTTCATTTCATTTCCTTTGTATGCAATTTAAAAATATGGAAATTTTTAAAAATACAATTCTTTTCGGAAACGTAGAAATAAATTATAGACTTCAGATGCCCAAGAAATAAGCAACTGTTACAAGTTTCTCAATCTCTCATCACAATTTTTTCAAATAAAAACAACAATTTTTTGTCCGCATTTTTACTATCTTTCTCTATCAGGAATCGTATAAAAAGTTGAAATGTACAGGACACAAGGTAAAAATACTCACTTTAAAGAAATATACAAAACAAAATAAAAACAAATCACTTACATTAACAGTGTTGTGTTGTAAAATCTTATTTATTTTCATAGATTGCTTATGTATCATATAAATTTAGGTTGTTTTATTTAAATCCAAAAATTTAGCTGCTTACAAATTTCGACTCGCACTGTAACATCTTTATTTTTATTTAGACTACAGCGCACTCTTTAATTTCGCGGGAACGTACCATCATAACATGGATTTAAAATGGATTTAGTTTTAAATATTTTGTCTTTGATATATGCAACCCACTTTACTGCAAAGTATTCTGAACGTCAAGCTGCAGTAGTATTTCTGAATTCCTTTACTTATTAAAGACTCGAATTTCAAAATCAGGGTTTAAAATATTAATAATCAAGACATAAAAGTCTTGGTTAAATTGGGTGGTTGGAAATGTAAATCGATGTTCTCTATGAATTTTTATGACAAACTCACCAAAATGTAGTGGGACTATAAACGCCAACCAAGCCTTTTTAGAAAAAAATTGGATAAATTGAAGTTCACAATAACCTTTAACCCCAGCAAAATAATGGACAATCTAACGGTATTATACAAAGAAGTAACATACGTACGTCATCCTATGAATTCAGAACGTCTTTTGTTAATCAAATTGACAACAGATTAATAAAGTGTAATTAATATTAATTTAACCATGTATTATTACCTGAATTAGCTGTAGAATGTAGTGTTTCAACGTTTACATGTGTGGAATGAAAACCAAATTCAGAAAGGATACCCATGCAGACATCCCATGTCGTCATCGTTAGGGTTAAAATTAACATTCCAATCTCTCCCATTTGTTAACCAATCTGTAGAAAGGAACAAAAAAATTATTAACTACTTTTAGCCAATAATATTTTAAAAGTGACTGCTAAAATAATAAACATACAATGTACCTTTAGTAATAAGCCAAATAAACAACTGTTATGATATTTCATCCTTATCACATTTCTTCTGACTATTAAATTAAAGTCAAAAATAAAAATACAGACAGTTCATATTGTAGTTTAAAAAAGATAAAATGGTTTATCCCTTGTATTAAGCTAACATTCAAATGTTGTTTAAAATCTCTTTATTGAAAGTGTTACAAATGTATAACTACTATTTTTAATTGATACTGTTACTTACCAATCCGTCTCATAGTTTCATAAACCCTTCCTTTGGCAATAACACACTGTTTCTGTTCCAAATGTAAAAAAGGCACCTTCACGCTCTCCTCAGGACTTCAGGTACTTCTACTACCTGGAGTGAATGAGGAACCAATGTCGCATAATACATGGCATTCAGAGTTTTTACTCTTTGTACTCTTGACTGTGTACTGTACCATTGATGTTGATAATTCATTTCCACAAATGAACAAGTAATGTCTTTGTTGTGGAAAAAAGGCACTTTTAGAATTTCTTGGGATACTGCTACTTTCTGGAGAAAAGGACTCCTACAATCAATGGTATCATATTTGCAGGTAATAATGCAGGTAGAATTTCACCATTGCACACCATCCTATCCTATTTGTAGATCAGAATAAGCTTAACTTATCGGGTAATCTCTGTAACAGAACGAGAAAAAACAAATTAATCATACTATTAAATGAATGAGCATAAAATCAAATTGAAATGCAGCCAAGAGCAAATAAAAGAACACAATTTTAAAATATAGGTTACTTAAATGCCATAATAAATACTAACCAAAACAAATCGAAAGCCATAGGTACACAAGTACCACAGAGCAAAGGAAAAATAATAATTGGAAAAGAAAAAAGTTTGTATATCCAACCATATAAGCACTAGTGTAAATCAGTTTGCATACAGTATTTCCTCAGAAATTATTTCTCCATATAAACATAAAAATTTATAATTAAGTAATTTTAAAAAAAATGACATCACAAATGAAGTTATCAAATATTATTAGTAACGAATCCTTTGATATAATTATTTCGAAAATCAACATAGAAACTTCATTAATGTAGAACTCTGAAACTTTTCATTAACTAGTAGACATGACCTGTCTAGGAATTTACGATAATTAGGATCATAGTTTTTTAGCTCAGTACTAAATTATTTTAGAGGTGAAGAATAATAATATAATAATGTAAATGCATTATGTAACTACTTCTCAATTAATTCATTCTTTTTAATATATAATAATCGTAAAAGAATATTCTGTAATTTACTAGACTTCTAAAACAACAAAAGTGCCTAATACTAATATCAATATTTGAAAAATAGAATGTGTAACAATTTTCCTTTTTTTAAACAAAGCTAATCGAAGCACAAATACGTTACATATTTAAAACTTGCAAGCGACTTACAATTTATTGGTAATGTTTAAATCAGTGGATTATTTACATCGCGTGGTAGTTCACACGACTCTACGATGATCTTTTACACTTTAACATCTATATCTATGACCTATGTTTACTGGCCATTTACTGTGCTCCATGCTTCTTGATATGCTTCATGCATTGAAGTGGAGGGGTATCTGTAATCTAGTTCAATGGCTTCATGACGTTTTTTAAGCAGTTACATCTATAGTCATTGTCATGTCTAATCTAGTCTAGGGTCTAATCTATAGTTACGCCAATATACTTCATGATATATTTCTCCTATATTTCTTTAATCCGCTTTAATCTATGGTGCCGTCAGTGCATGAGTGCAATCATAGTTTAATATAATAAATAATAATAAATAGGTGTAGTATAAAACGTAATTTACATACTAGTAAAGTTGTAAAAGTTGTAATAAATGGCTACAGAAAGAGAAAAAACCGAAATTCTAAAGGTATCTTTTGCAACTACTTTACTTTTTAAAATAACATATTTATACTTTGTAGAATCCAGAACTTCTACCCCTGAATACTTTATATTTAAGCAAAAAAACTGTAATTAGGAAGTCTCACTATCCCTCAGAAAAGGTGAGCTTCAATAATTTTTATTTCAAATTTTTATTTCTTTGTTTTTTTGCAGTTGGGTTTAAATGATATAGAAAACTTGGAATCTATAGATTTTAGTAAAAATTATACAACAAAATTTGAAAAACTTAAAGCAATTGTAAGTGTTATTGATGTTGATTGCAGTTACCTTTAATTGGTAATTTTTTACATTAGTTGACATTGGAATTGAGACATGAAGTTTAGTCAGGTAGGTAGTACTGACCAAGTAGAATCGTGTGGTAGCATTAATTCCGTGCGGAAACCAATGTAGCTCGAGATACAGGCTTCTAAAGTTATTTAATCGGAGGAAATTTCGATTGGTACGGCCCTGGCTGCAGCCCTTCGTCAGCTGTTCTCGCCAAATATGCATTGATGACGTCATTGTTTAGTTAGGTAGATGTATGACAGACTCGAGTTTGTTTAATGCCCCTGCCCGCCGAAGGCGGGCTGATACATTAGAATAATGTTAGGAAGATATGTTTTAGGACAAACGATGTTTGGCGGGAACAGCTGACGGAAGGCTGAAGCCAGGGCCGTACCTACCGGTATTTCCTCCGATTAAGAAAACTTTAAGGGCCTGTATCTCACTCACATTCATTTTTAAACAAATAATAAACAAAATTCTAGTAAATACTACTACACTACTTCACTTGGTGAGTACTACCTACCTGACTAAACTTCATGTCTCAATTCCAATGTCAACTAATGTAAAAAATTACCCTTTAATTTTCTGCTTTTTTAGTCACCTGAATGGATATTAAGAAAAAGGCAGTATTATAATTTTCAACCATATTGTTACACTTATAGCTTAAACGAAGACACTGAAACATTTATTGATAGAAATGTGTTATTCTTAGCAAGCATACAGCATTTGTTGGATTGTACGTACAGATACTTTTGGTGTTATGTGTTGTGTGAGTCTCGTGTTAGTAGAGTGTTAAATAGTTTTCTTGAGAAAGCTATCTTTAATTATGACACAAAATACATGAACAGTGATTGCTTAGAAATTTATGAGGTTGTTTGTACAGCTGTTTATAAAATCTTTGGACGAATGATTTCTCCTCACGAATCCAAGGTGATACCTCTAATTTCAATTGCTGTTTTCTTTGTTTCTATTAGATTATTTTTAGACTGAATTTATGCCAGAAGATTTTGTATTAGAAAATCTCTTCAAATGCCACTATCTTAATCTAAAAAATGTATTGGTATTGAACTTTTTATTTAATGGAACTACTGTAAATGATTTTGTAGATAGACTAATAAAATTCTATTTTACAAAAAAATTTGAAAGTAAAATTAAGGAGGAGCTACAAGAGTTATTAAATGAAGCTGTTATGGTAAGAACATAATAAGTTTTATAAGTTGCTTGTTTTTTTTCTACTTATTTGTTTTTCTAATTAATATGCAGATTCATTAATTTTGCTGACTTACTATCCTGTATATAATTTCACGTTTTTGCTCGACTTTTGCGGTACTTGTGTAAATTTCAATTTTTGATTGATCTATATGTTGTGAATGTTGGATGAGTTCTTACTTATTCATGTGTTAGTTATTTGAATCATCTTCTCTGAAGTGATAATTAAACCGCCTTGAATTCAAACAGAACAATTTTTTGCGAATTATTTTGAATAAAAATTCTTCACCTACTATGATTGTTCAGTTAACAAACGAGTTTAATGTTTAACGATTGTATAATAGAATCATTTTATAATTAGCAGAATTCGCTATTTTGTTTAAGTCTGTAAGAATTCCATTCATTATTCTCATTTATTGACTCCATATTTAGTTTCTTGTCCTCCCTTAGCCCTAACGCTCTATCTCCTCTCTAATAGTAATTGGTAATTTGCTGCATAATTAATATTGAAAAATATTTGATGCTTTTCTGTATTAATTTAAGATAAAATAACAGCTTAATTTTTTGTACTTTTTCAGTTTCATTAACGTTTTTTATACTTTGTTACACAATTGCAGTACTTTATAATAATATCTTGAACGTAAAAAATTAATAACAATAAATACACATTCAACTAAAAGGTATTATTAATAGGAATTGGAAACAGTTGAGGCAAATGTTTGTGTCAATTACGAAGGATTCATTGCAGTACCAGCTGCAACAAAAATCAAACCAGGTCAGTTTGATCCAGGTTGGTTGGAAGAAATGGTGTCAAAAATATTACATTTTGGAAGTATTTTGAGCACACTTTTTTCAAGAAATGCTTCTTTCATTGACTCGGTAACAGGATCAAGAATTATTGAAATGTATGTTTATTTAATATGCAGTATATGTATGTGTAACATGTTACTGTTTGGTATGTACGTATGTGGAACTATGGGAGTGATTTCGTGAATGTAATGGAAACGCGTTACAGGAAGTAACGATTTTATAGTGGGAGAGAAATAGAGAGAAAATGGAAGGAAGAGAAAGAAATTATGTAGCCAACCATTTGATTTGCCAACCTAGGTCTTGACCCAGGTTAGCAAACCCAGGTTCAGTGACAATAAGATGCATTGCCGTGCAGTTTACATTGAGAAATTGTCATTTTGCTTGTAACTGATGTTAAGTGTTATTATATCATTGTACTACTACCACCACAGAAGACGCGAATTTGTTTTCTATTTTACATAAATTGTCTGTTATGATGCATCTACACCAGGGCTTCTTAAACTTTTTTCATTCACGACCCCATTTATGATTGCGAGTTTCCTGGCGACCCCATATAAATATAAAAGAAAGATCAATAAAATTAAAAAAACAAATACACATCTAGATGTTATAAAATCGTATATTTAAATATTTGACATTAAAATTTCTCGCGATCCCAGAACTTTCCTACGCGACCCCATTTGGGGTTTAAGAAGGCCTGATCTACACTATGAATGCCAAGTTATAATTCTTTGAGCACTGCAAAACTCATATAATAAACAAACCATTTTGTCTTTAAGTATAATATTTGAATTGCTGTCCGACAGATATGCTAGTTAAAAATTACTTAATTTAATTAAATTACCTATTTTAGTTTTTACTACAAATACAATGTAATTGCCGGGTGTATGTTAATTTACTCTATTCCAAAGCCATGGACATTCAATGTGGGATCTTATAATTTTGTATTTTAAATTTTTAGAATTGCTCCATTCTATGATAAGGTACTTCCTGAATTACTTGAATGCATACCAGATGAAAATGATACACCTGAAAATTTATTGGAAGTAAGAAAAAGAATTCTTGAAAAAATCGCCCTTGGGAGTTCCTATTTCATAACACTTTTTAACTGTTTTGTTACTAATTTCATTGACAACATAATTAATAATAAGTAAGTGGCAAATAAAGTTTCTTAAATGCAAATGTATTTTTGTAAATTGTTTTGTAGAGATAATCCTAAGCAACAGCAACATTACCTTGATAGTTATTTTTCATTGATAAGTTCTGTTTTGGAATATGATGAATTTCTTACAGATTATCAAGCTGTACATAAAATTGATCAGCAACTGCAAATAATTGAAGATTTCTGCAAAGACATGTATCCTTTTACAACACATCATTTTGTTTTTTATTTCTGAATAATATTTTTCTTAATTAAGCTATCAGGGAATTAACAAGAACACGTTATATAAAAGATTGTTTATATAATTTAACACCTAAAAAGAAAGAAAAGATTGAGGCCACCGAAGAAACTACATCTGAAGAAGATGATGATTCCTATGAAGATGAAGAAGAACCTTTGGATGTATCTTCAACCCCCTCAACGAATGGTATTGTAATACCTTCGGAGGACGAATTAAGTGGGCTTATTAGTATTGTACAGGATGTTTGCCCACATGTGGGTTCAGGTAATGAGTCAATCATACGTTAATATTAATATTGTTAAATAATCAATTGCTTGATTTTGTTCAGGTTTTGTGTTAAGATGTTTAGAAGAAATGAAGTTTGATCCAATTCAAGTTATTAGAGCCATACAATCAAACAGTTTACCAAATGTGCTTCAAAACGTTCCAAGAGATTTGGTATATGTACCTCCAGAAAAACCAGAACAGTCGGAAATTCCCATTCTAGCTTATAGAGGCAAAAAACCACAGCATCAGGATGCAAATGCTCTTTTAAATGACAAGAGTGATATTCAGGATATCAAGGATTTTGTTATACAAACCACGTGAGTTTTTGCGTTTAAGTGTTTGTTTTATTTAGAAAAATAACTTACTGTTTCTCTTTTTTTTAGTTATGACAATTATGATCCTTATGATGACGAATACGATGATGCAGAGGAAGACCCTATTTTAAATTTCGATAGGTCGGAAGCGGACCCGGAAATTAATCCTAATATGAATAAATTTCAGGAATACGAAGTGGTTTCCGATCCCAGCGAATCTTCTGAAGAAGAGGAAGAAATGACGCAAGGTATAGTTATTCAGCAGTTAAAAAATTATGCAGTCTAATGTTTAGTAAACTGTTTTCCTGTTTCCTAAAAGAAAGCTGAAATAGTTTAGTACTAATTGCTTGTTACTTTTTTACAGATAATGATCGTCAATCTAGGGACGCTTTTTGTGAAAATCCAGAAGTTATAAGGGCAAGGAGGGAAGCAAGAAGGGCTCAAACATATCGAAGAGGCGGAGGAGGTGGTGGGCCAAGTAATAGGGATGTCGTAGGTAAACCGAAAGGTCAAGGACAGGAGAAGAACGTTCAAGCCAATAGAGATAAAAAGAATGTGCATAAGTCAAGTAGGGCGAATCACAATAGAAAAGGTGGTGCCCAATGGAAAAGAAGTAGAGGAATGGTACCATCCTAAGTCATAATAAAAATACTTATAGGTTATGCTCCTCAAGGAGCTGTGAAAGGTTTTGTGATTGTCTGTAGTAAAAAAAATACAATAGAAGTTTTTTTTCGTTTACTTTTTTAGATATATATCCTTCTGACATCAGTGTAATAATAATCTGGCCATTACTATTTTTACCACAAAAAAGTAGCTACAGTAATAGACTTAAATTTTTTTGTGAAATTAGCATTTGCTAAAAAATTAAAAGAAAATTCAGTTTACTTTCTGGGTATAATCTTATTATAAAAGCTCATGTTAAAAATAGTTCATGTGTCATGTCCATGTTTAACAGTTCGGTATGTTATGTTATATTATAGTGTCACATTGTAATATTTTACCTGTTTATGTAGACCATAGCGCACTCGCGGTGCCATAACAATTTGTATTGTGAGTAAATGAGTACATTTAAATTTTGCTAATAGTTCGCCCTTCATACAGGCAACCCATTACACTGCAAAGTATTCACGTTGTCAATGTAGCTTTAGCAGTTCTAATTATTTTACTAAAGACTGTTTTTTAAAAGGTTTAAAGTATCCACCGGCAAGTTTTAGCCACATAACTTTAATTCGTGTTCCCGCGCGTCTACAATATTACGATTTAAAATTTGAAGAGAGAAATTAATTTATCAAGAAATACAAACTTTTTTAAATTGGGGTTGAAAGTTCATCCCTATAATTTTCAATTATAAAATTCGTTTTACTGATGCCTCACAACAACTTTAATATATTTTGGTACATTCACCTTATTTAATGAGAGAAAATTAATTTATCAAGAAATAAAAACGATGCAACGTTCTTAAATTTGGGTTGAATCAGTAGCGGATTATCCGTAAGGCAAACTAGGCACATGCCTAGGGCGTAAGGTTAGGAAGAGGTGCGCACTAAAAAAAAAAAATAAGAAAGTACCTGCTTCCAAAAATTACTTTGCAAAATATATGACCGCCAGGAGGGGCGTCTAGGAGGTGCTAGCCTTGAGCGCTCTCGACATTTAATTCGCCTCTGGGTTGAATGTACATCTTTGTAACTTCCAACTATGAATCAACCACACTTTATGAAAATCCCTATAAAAAATGAAAAATCTTTTAATAATTTTTAATAATTTTTCATTTTTTATGAAAAGGTTTGCATTTTTTGTGAGATTTATAACTCCGTAAATATCATTAAAAAAGATTGTTTGCACTCTTATTTTTAAAATAGTGGTTGTGTAGAGGGATTTTCCCTCCATTGTCACTTAAAAATTGTATTTATATGTGAAAAACTGAATTTTATGTGATTCTACAATGTTTAACAGGTTTCAATATATTTCCCGCTTTTTTAAAAATCATTTTTATTTTGCTAGGCAACCCCAAACATTCGGGAGTAGTAAAAGCTGCATAAATGAAAGCGTACTTAATTATAATATTATCTGCGCGCCAAAATTAACGTATTTAAAACTAAAACTAAAACAAGTTTACGTATTTACTCTTTCGTAACGTTCTATGTATCAAATAATAATACATAAGGTGTTTTTATTGCATGCAAATATACTAATTTTATTAAATATGGTTATTTACTTTCGATTAGATAATCTTCAGTCGTTATTCCAGGAATTAAGGAATCATTTAAATATTATGTAAGCTCATTTAAAGAGAGGGAGCTTGTTCTTTTTTTTCTGAAACTTTAACCAATTGCAATTATTGACACATTGTAATTTAAAATTACGGAAATTTGTTTACTAGACCAAGACATCTAACACTAATTACTTGAATGGCTTAAATCAAAAATATATGAATTCATAATTTGTAAATTGGCCACATTGTTTATTATGATTCATTTAATTGGATTACCTATTTATTTGATATATTTGTAAATTTCGACTGAAACAATTTCCTTAGAATTGGAAAAATTGGTTTGTACTAGAGTAATAGTAGATTCAATCTTTTGAAGCTGTTTGAAGTTTTGATAAGCTTTATTTGAAAAACATTTCATATTTCAATAAAGAATTTCATGTTCTTTAGTTCTTATTGATTTCCTGGTTAAATATTTTTCACGTACTTTGTTAAAAACAAATGTTGAACAACTGATTTTTTTTATCAAATTTAAATAAGGTTTCATTAACTTCCAAACGAGAAATTATTTTCTTGTTTAGTTTATAAACAACTGCTTCATACGTGTGTCGAATATATAACAAAATTAAATGGAAAATGAACGTAATTATGTAGCAGTTCTGTTTTCATCTTCGCTTCTTCGCTATTTAAAGTCAGGTTCACGTAATTTCATGGTCACTTACCTTGCGGCAAAAAAATTATGTCGAGGTTGAATTTTCGTATGACATACGTATGTACCTTTGTACATTAATACACAAACATGTCCATTAGCATATTTCTAGTTTTCAGTGACGTTTTCATATAAGACACATGAATACAAATTGCAAACTTGGAAAAAATTGCTTACTTTGTAATTAATTGAGAATAAATAAAAGTTACTACCTGATTTATTTTTATGAGACATTATCGCAGTGACGGTTCGTGCCTTCAAAAGTAGGTGAAGAAAACATACGTAATAGGTGAAGAAAACACACGTACCTAAATATACAATGAGTACATATGCAGGTGAAGTGGATTGATCGACTCACTGCGATCTCTTCCCTATTCATCTCACCGTGGTTTACATGGCTGCATGGAACTTGCCTACTCTATTGTATTATGTCTAAGGGAAGAGGTGCGGTGGCGACGCGCATAATTCTTCACTTGGGCATTTTCAATATTTACTAGTCGATTTCGCAATACCTACATAACTGTCTGCAATTCATTTCCACACAATCCCTTTTTAATTGTCTATTGTTTCTTACTTATTCACAACTATTTCTTACTACCCTTCTCATCCGTTTCTATTCTATAATTGACTTCCCTTACAATAAAATACCTTCCGGTATACATGTGTACTAGTTTTTATCCTTTATTTGAACATTACACTTCCCCGACCTTCCGTCACCTAATTGGAACCCTTTCTTTTTTTAAATTATATTTTTAAGTTGGATCAGTCCATCGCCACTCCCACTTAATATCTCCTTACAATTATCCAAATCTTTACTTGCCCCACATCCTTTCAGCACATGCATCATTGTTTCATCTTCCCTTTCACGTATCCTATATATCATTTCTTTTTCTTTCTTCCAATACTTACATTTGTGCGGCGGCGATGTGCATAGTTCTTCACTTGGGCATTTTTAAAATTTATATTAAGCATAGTAGTTCTTCCCCCCTATAAGCTACTGTGAGCACGAAACTGTTAGCACAGTGGTCGAAATTCACTTTTGTGAACAATACTGTGACGTAGGTCGGCCATCATTTTTTTTAATTGTTGTTGCTGTCGGCCATCATTCTTTTTCAATTGTTGTCGCATTGTCACTGATGTCGGCCATTATGGTTTTTAATAGATGTATAATAACACAGGCCAACGACGAAAAAACTTTTTTAATAATTTTAACTTATTTCTATGTAATTTGGTGTGCTGATTCCGAAAAAAATAACGAAAAGGTCGTATCATCCTCCATTTTCTCACATTTCAATATTAAATAAAAGTAAATTTTATTAACCAAAATGTGTAACAAATATTTTTAACCGTTAAAATATTTTTATGTTGACCATATTTTCTAGTATTATAGAGTTGAGAATAATATAAAATGTACTCAGGTTGATAGTTCTGATAAATTGCGCATTTTTTTGTTTTCTTCTAGTTAATAAAACATCACATTGCATTGTAACTTTGCAACTTTGGTTTATCCCAAAAAGATTCTTTTACCACCACTACACATTAAGTTGGGTTTAATGAAACAATTTGTAAAAGCTTTGTCTAAAGATGGTGATTGTTTTAAATATTTATGTAGAAAATTTCTTCATTTATCAGAAGCTAAACTGAAAGAAAAGGTTTTCGTTGGGCCTGATATTCGTGATGTTCGATACCAACTTCGAAGCAACGATGAGTAGAAAGGAAAAAGAGGCTTGGATATCATTGAGAGAAGTTTTTGGGCAATGTAAACGATCCTAACTATGAACTTATCATATCTACATGATAAACAATTTTAAAAATCTTGGTTGTCTGATGAAGAAAACAACAGCTGAGCACAGCACACGCCGCCGGGACTCTATAGAGATGCATCGGTATAGGATAACCGAATGAAATTGTATAGATCGACTACATTAATGTATTTTTCTTTACGAGGAAAAGTAAACACAAGAAATAATAAATAATTTAGTATAGTAATTAATAAATAATACAAATTAGGACAACAGCCTAACCAAATATAGACCAGTATCTCAGAGCTACCAGACATTACTTATTTTCTGAGTAACAAAATGGATTGGATAGAGTAGTGTTAGTATGTATTTTGAACGTACGCGTAGCTGCTAACTGGGCCGATTTGCAGATATCAGGTACTAAAGGTAGGTACGTAAAAACATTACCTAGTGTTGATTTTTACATAATATTTCACAGAATATTGTTAAGAATTAATAATCAACACTGCCAGAAACAATTTTAAAAATCTTGGTTGTCTGATGAGCCTTAAAGTCCCCTTTTTGCACAACCATCTTGACTTTTTACCTACAAACTTAGGTGATGTCAGTGAAGAGCAAGGGGAACGGTTTCATCAGGACATCAAAGAAATGGAGAAACGATACCAAGGAAGGTGGAATGTAAACATGATGGGTGATTACTGTTGGACACTTCACAGAGAGCAACAGAATGCTTCGCATCGGAGAAAAAGCTATGCAAGAAACTTTACAGAGAGAAGAGAGAGAAAATACAAAAAAACATATATCTAATGTTTAGTAATCTATTATTTGTAAAAGAAAATTGCAACTTCATTAAGAACTAAATTTTTTAATTTTTAATTATCAAATATTTCCCTACTTTTTGAAATATACAATACACAATGTCATATTGTGAGAAAATTGTGGGTGATAAAAAAAA